GCCCTTCCACCTCCTCGTTGTGGGGACCGGTTACTCTGGCGATTTAACGGGGGACCTTGACCTCTACCTCCCGCTTGGCGGTTTCCCTGTCCGCCAACCCCCTGTGCGCCCGGTCCTCGGCCTCCCATGGCCTGGCCCCTTTGGCCCTGGCCTCCTCCTCTACCTTGCGGCCTCCCTCCAGCCGCGACAGCAGCGTAAGACCTCCCCTGCCCCACACTATTGCCATCATCTTCAAGGCCCCACTCAATCTGGTCATATGGGACCTCATCGATACTACCTTTTTCTAATGTCAGGATCATGTGATCCTTAACCTTTACTTGGCCTGAGATGGTACGATTCTTCCATTTCTTCCCCTTCTCTAAGTCCTTATGCTAGAAAGTGGTCACTGGCATAGACTTCGACTCATACAGGACGACTTCCCTACTTAATGCATCGTAAGTCATGCCGGCCTGCTGAGATTTGTCAAAGAAATGTCCGCGTAGGGCCTCTGGGATGGCACGATAAAACAACTGGACCAACTGGGGCTCGGTGACCCCGTGGTCCGGGACGGCTACCAAGTCGTCCATAGTACCCTTGAGTGCCTTGGCACTCCTCCACTGCCGAGAGTGAATCGTTTGGAGCTTATCAGAGACTCTAATGCCTCGCGTTGGGTCAGCGAACCGCTCCTTGAGGAGCTTGAGGAATTGGAAGAGAGGAGTGACTTTGGAATACGCAACCAGGTTGTTTTCACAACCGGCTGTACTCGCAAGAGACCTGGTGAAGCTAGCCGCTTCATCTTTGAGGGTCTGGAAGGCCACAAGGACTTGTTCCTCGGCCAAGATATGCTGCAAGTAAATATAACTATTGACATTGGCTTTCTAATTGTCAAAGTTTTCTTCCTTCTTTCCCCCGTACGCATCCGGAAACTTAAGCTTCACTGGGTCCTTACGGGGTCTGGCCTCTCCCTCTACAGCGGCTACAGCTTTGGCACCCTGAATGGCGCCCTCACAAAACTTCCCTACATTATCTCTCAATTGCTTCACTTCGCCCCCAATATGGGTGACGATCTAGCGCGCAAAATCTCTAAACCCTGACCGCATGGCACTCAACGCTACATCCTGGCTCCAGCTTGCCTGGCGCTCCTCCATCCAGGCCTTGCTCAACACCTCCAGGTACCCCAGTACTTTGTCCCACTTGGCCTTATCGTCTGGTTGGGCTAGCACCTCCGCTCTACACTCCTGCACCTTTGCCACTGTTGCGGTCATCTTATTCACTTCCTCTCTCCTCCTCTTCTTCTCCCTCTTCATTCTCAACTTCCATGCTAACTTTTGCTCGTCTTCCCTCTCTCTTCGTTCTATTGGGTCTGTCATGGCTGCTAGCTCAGCGGCCAGCGCAGCCTTCTCATCCTTAGTCACATAGGACTCCGCCTCCTCGTCTTATCCCAACGATAAATTAGTGACCCACTCGATGATCTTCTTCTCCAGCTCAATGTCTGTCTCCCACTTCATCGTGCCACCACTGCTCCCTTCTCCACTCTCAATTCTCATTCTCTCTTTCTCTTTTTCTACAGTCGCTTCTGCTTCAGCAGCCTTCCTTCTTTCTTCCTCCTCCTGTTGTACCCTCTTCATCTCCTCCTCCAACCTCTTCATCTTCGCCGCCTGCTCGTCTGCGATAGCCTTTAGCTTGGCTTGCTTTTCACGCTCTTTCCTCTCCTTATTCTCTCTGACTAAGGCGGCCATCTTTTCTTGCTGCTCAGTGGTGTAGGGGCTAGTCTCCTTCCCACTACGGGTCTCAACCATGGTGATAAGTGTACAACCGGGTTAGTGGTTCCAAACCTCACCACGTAGACGTCAACCCCTGACTGACAGACCTACTGACTCAATCTAAGACTCACAGAATCCTGACAGGGATCCTGTCAACTATGGTCTCTGGCCTAGACCTACACTATGGCTGTCACTACTGAACCAGTGGCTGATCAGGAGACATTTAAGGAGATCCCCCGTAACTCCTCAAGAATTTTTTAACGTCGCTGACAGGACGACGTGATCAGCTTGGTTTTGCCTGTGCTTTCAACCCACAACTCAGCCTTTCCGGCCTATTGTGCCACACCGAGCAGCCCGCCAGTCTGTACCGGTCCTTGGGAGGGTTCGTATCCCCCGGGACAGTCGAGTCATCAAACACAGATCATTAGCCTTACTTGGTCTGGTAGGGGAGTGGTTCCAACAGGCCCTCAACACTTAACGACGTCCTCCGTTTCACCCTGCAACTCGGAGTTTAGACCCTCTACACTGAAACTGAACAGACCTGCCGGTCAGTACCGGTGATTGGGCTAGACGAGTTGTTTAACGAGCGCTCGCCGCTCATGCCCAGGTCTCCAGATACCAGAGTAGAGATTGGTCCTACTAAGTCCCGTGCAGGTTTGGCAGCAAGGCCCTATCCTTCATCCACAGAGTTTTATGACCAAGGAAAGAAGAGACTCAATGCAGAAAGAATAGACAGACAGACTGTACTCAGCAAGTTCCAAGGGGTATGTGCACATCCATAGGGCAAGGGGCAGGCTAAGGGCTTGGCGAGATGTTAGCAACTCAAGCTTGGTCAAAGTCTTGGTCAACGCCTTGGTCAACCCCGGTCAACGCTGCTATGACCCTCGGTCAACTTCGGTCAACTCCGGTCAACGCCTCCGGTCAACCCTCTCGGTCAACTCCCCGGTCAACTATGGCTGCCG